TGGGAATGAGTATCAGCACGGGAGTGGGAAATATTCGTGGACAGGCGATGTCACAGGCATCCGGTAGCTCCCACTCTCAGCATTCGTTAAGCAGGTGAGTCTTTTACACTTTTACGCGTTGCCCTTGTCCCATGGTCGCCTAAATATTTTCTGAGAAACGGCAACGTTATAGGGTGAGTAGCAGTAGCCCAAGTAGCACTCCAACGGACGCGTGTGCGACTAGTTCGGAGCAGGAAGACGAGCCACCACCTCCGCCGATCTCCGCCCGACCGGAACGCACGAAATCGATCGTAAGTTTTTTTCTTCGCGCTTGAACGCGATTAAGAGATGCGTGTTTGATTAGTTCGTTATTTGTGACATTTTACTATCTGGAACATTTTATTTTCACTATGCAGTACACAAAACCTATAGAGGAGGAACCACCGCCACCCTTGACGACCACGCTGGGCTCGCCACAACGAAATGGCATGCAGCAACAACAACACCAGTCGCAATTAGATAGAAATAAGAATCAAGCAACGCCGACGTCAACAATTGATCAGACGCGACCAGCGCAAGGCGATAAAGCTAGAAAGAAGAAGATGTCAGATGATGAGATATTAGAAAAACTTAGAACAATCGTGAGTGTGGGAGATCCTAATAGAAAATATACGAAAATGGAAAAAATAGGACAAGGGTAAGCAGGCAACGAGATAACCGATAAATGATTTTTCGTATCGAATCTAAAACTGTACTGATCAGTACTAATTAACGATCGTCTTGCAGTGCCTCGGGGACAGTGTACACAGCAATAGAAACGTCCACCGGCATGGAAGTTGCAATAAAACAAATGAATCTGTCGCAACAGCCAAAGAAAGAGCTTATAATAAACGAGATTTTAGTAATGCGGGAGAACAAGCATCCGAATGTTGTAAATTACTTGGATAGTTATTTAGTCGGGGAAGAACTGTGGGTAGTCATGGAATATTTGCCAGGCGGCAGTTTAACGGATGTTGTGACTGAGACTTGTATGGACGAAGGTCAAATTGCCGCGGTGTGCAGAGAAGTATTACAGGCGCTGGAGTTCCTTCATTGCAATCAGGTTATACATAGGGACATCAAGTCTGATAATATTCTGTTGGGTCTTGATGGTGGGGTAAAGTTAACGGACTTTGGCTTTTGCGCGCAAATATCACCGGAACAGAGCAAAAGAACGACGATGGTTGGCACACCGTATTGGATGGCGCCGGAAGTAGTAACGCGAAAGCAATATGGACCTAAGGTAAATATATATATATATATATATATATAAATTGTTATTAATAAAAATAAGGTTATTACTTTCTGGAAAAATCTAGAATTTTCAGGAGATTCGCTTTTATTAAAAAGAAATTTGAACATTTCTGAAATAAAAGATTTTCATGGAATTTTTTCGGTACTCCGAGAAATTTTTGAAATTTTACTTATTCTAATTTTATCTGTTTCTGAAAATATTATTTTTTAATAATGGAAAATGTTGACAATTAATAATAACTACAGCATGTGTATCCTCGTATTCACGCTTACATTTTCATGTGTAAGTTTTTATCTAAAAAAGAAGTATAACAATAGAAGACAGTATTCAACAGAATGAAGTAGCTTACCGATATTGTATCGACCCTTTCTTATACTATCTTGTAGATTTCTCAATTCTAAACAATGATAGATATAGTCTCACGGAATCCCTGTTTTCTACTAATTTTCAACATGTTTGCATTACTTTCATTCCAATTTATTTCAAATTTGCATTTAAAAAATTGTCTAATCTTACCTGGATTTTGGACAAAAATACCTGGAAAATTCAAGAATTTTCAGCGAATTTTTTTACAAGATCAATAAACACTTTGAAATATGAATTGAATACGTATTATATTATTAATTATAATAACGTATCTCTGTATCATAGGTTGATATATGGTCGTTGGGAATAATGGCAATCGAGATGATCGAAGGAGAGCCGCCGTATTTGAACGAAAATCCACTGAGAGCGTTGTATTTGATCGCGACAAACGGTAAACCGGAAATCAAGGAAAAGGATAAGCTGTCGGGTATATTCCAAGACTTCTTGGACCAGTGTTTAGAAGTCGAGGTGGAGAAACGGTCCGCAGCTTCCGAATTATTGAAGGTAAAAAGAACATTTTTTTTCATTAATACATAAACGCGAAAATACGTTTCTGATATATATACGCATATTTCTACCGTTCAAATTGATTTAACCGGAAATATGTATTTAAATTGCATTGCAGCATCCTTTTTTGAAATTAGCGAGGCCACTAGCTTCGTTAACACCTTTGATAATGGCGGCGAAGGAAGCTGCCAAAGGTCATTAAGATACAGTGGCGTTTAGATTGTAGACTTATAAGATGTGACTCCAAGAGTACGGTTATGCAGAGGAAAAGAAGGAAATAATGAATCACCCTCCCAAAACGGAAACGGCACAATAATTCAATAATATATAATAAATAATGAATATAAACATATATATATATATATATATATATAAATGAATATACATATATATATATGTATGCATACATATGTGTATATCATATGTGAATATTATATTATGTCATATGTATAAATATATACACATATGCATGCATATATCCATTACGTACGCATATAGGTCATATAGATAGATAGATAGAACTTATTCGATACCGTGACGAAGTATCGGAAAAATGGTTGCAAAGAGTTTTTAAAAAAAGAAATGCTCGATTCTCGCACGTTGCGAGCACAAACACAAAGTTAAATCAGAAAAGAGCTATGAGCGATCTGACGGCAGAGGCCTTGTTTTCCTCGATAAAGTCCATAATTACAATTGAGTGCAATGGACTCACAAAGTCTTAACTTAGTTTTTGAAGGAAATAGAAAAAGAAAGAGACAAAATGGAACGCGTATGTGCTTTACCGTATCTACTGTTGCCTGTGACGTGCTTTTGCCGCAATTCGGATGGATTGTCATCGAGGAAACACAAGCAATTGTCAGTTATTTTCTAAAAATATAAAACTAGTATTACTAACTCTAAAAAGAGCAAGAGAAAATTCAAAGGATTGGAGTTAGCAAAAAAACGCATATTATTTATAGCGAGAACCTTATTAGATAATACCACAAAGAAATGTGAACAAGTATACATAGGACCTATTCTAATATTATTGTTTAACGAGAGATCGTAGAGAGAGAGAGAGAGAAAGGAGATTGATCTTCGTGTCGGACTTGTATTTTTCGACGGAAGTTACGATGAAGCAGAGCAATATGTTTTCAGTGTGTTTTATCTAATTAGTGCGACGATAGATGTGTAAGCGGTAGCCTAATTTGTTTTAAACGTTTTTAAGAGACTCGCATTCTGAATCGCTGAATATCTGATTCGTTGTTGATTCAGTTTTCTTGTATTAAAAGAGAAACTGTTTGAGCAAATTCCTCGTTTACAAATATCGCAATTTTTTTATGTTGGCGTTTAATATAAAGAAATTGATTCACACGTGCTCTAGCCAATCGCGTAAAAAATGCATATCTCGTTTGAGGCCGCTAATTTAGAGCTTTATGACAAAGAGATGAGTACTTTCCCTCATTTGTATTATTAAAGAGAAGAAAAGAGAAAATAAAAGACACGTTAAGACATTGAACTTACTACCATGGTTTACTACTTAGTTGATAAGAACATGTCTCCGAGGACGCTTGTCCACATCACGTGTGTTCTTCGCTGTAAGTCCAACATAATGGTTCTTAACGTGTCTTGTTAAAAAGAGGGAGAACGAAAGATCAATGAAACTGTAAAACAAGGTTCAGACGTAGGAGCATTTTGTGACACTATAAAGTGCCTGTCTTGTCGTTTAGAGACGTGAAGAAAAAAAAAGAAAACTCGCGCTAGATTTCTTATGAACCACTGTATAACGACATGTAATATTTCGTTTTAGCACCGTGAGGAAGAAGAAACAAATAATCGAACACGCATATGTATATTGGAGTTTAATTGACGTTTTGTGTAGAACGAATTGTGGTTCTGTATGTATGGTTGTATTTGCATCGAACATTATCGAGATACGTCTTTCCTAATGTTGTATTATATGTCATCCGAATGTCATCGTGTCATCGAAAAATGAATATATTGGAAGTATTTAGTTATTTTAGGCGATATCATGAATCGTAGATTTTCGTATCTTGTTTTTTTTATTCTTTTCATTTTACGTCGTATCCATTATTCGACCAGGACATCCACTGAGTGAAACTAAAAATGAAAGAAAAAAAAATGAAAGGAGTGATAAAGTCTTCGATTAAGATGAAAGGTGGAAAAAATGAGCTAATACAAGCCAATCAGCAGAATATATAAATTCCTTACTATTCTGTAAAATATAAGTATGTAAAATATTTTTTAGCATAACATATTAATAGAAGTAATAAGATAATGAGTTAAGTCATCTTTATGTAGCCACAAAATAAGCAACGATTGCAAATTGGATTTTCTTCTAAGAAACACCATGATTATTTAGTTAGTCATATTACCTTGAATTTATAACCTTAAGGTTCTTAATTCTTGTTTTTATCAGAAAAGTCGCTGAGTGTGAACTTAAAATTTGTAAAAGTTTCCGAATTATCGCACAGAAAAAAATTTGCTATAAACGCAAAGGGATTACAAAATTTAATTGTCAAATTTGTTTACTGTTTACAGCAAATAAATTTGTATATTTGACAAATATTTTGCAATTGTTGCAAGTAATTTTTGTTAACAAGTACAAGAAAGAATAAACATTTGTTTATTCTTTCTTATACTCGCATATAATTGATCCTTATATATGCAAATAAATTTGCCGTCATGAAATTAGAATTCGCATAGAATTAGCATTCATAGCAAATTTTTTCTCTGTACGCTTTTCGTAATTTTTTAAACAAATATTTGTATTTACTTAAAACATTTGAGATGTTTTCATTGATTTCATTATATTGTTACTGGTTATGATCAACTTCTTCGATACACGAAAACAAGTCTACTTAACTAAAGGAGAAAAAAAAACTTGTTCTATACGTTCCAATACCTGTAAATTGACTCGTATTAGCTGAGCTTTCTATTTCAAGTGTAAGAATTTAGGATGTTAGAACTGTGTGAGAGAACTATTCACGAATGGCAGGAAAAAGATATGTCGAGACTGAGAAAAAAACATCTAGAATATTCGCATTCTATTCCGAATTAATAATTAATTCCAATTTCGAGGTTATTCTTTTTTCCTTTCGAGAGTTTGTGAGAGGCACGCACTTCCAGTTTTCGCGCGGTGGATGGATAGGTCGATCGACGAGATTTTTTGTTATACATATATGTATAGGACTCATATATAAATTAATATTAACTCAAACTTTGTGAGAATATAAATATGATAGTTATAAATCGAGAAATTAACGATACACTTATATTGCGTATGAAACAAGAAGAAGAAAAGATGAAACCCGTATATTATTTGATAACGAGAAATCGTATGATAAGGTATATTCAATATTCGACGAGTTTTTATTGTTTTCTTCTCCTTTTTTTTGTAGTATCATCTTTTGAAAAAGCCTGATTAGATTTTTATAATGTCTGACTGTACTTGATCGAGATAGGGAGAAGAAGCAGCTCAGTTTGTATCAACGCTTATGACCGAATTTAGGGCTGGTATACCGAAGGAACTTAATGCGAGACGCATCTTTAAACAGAATCAGGGACTATATAAATAGAGTATATAAATTATAAATTCGTGCTCCTTCAGTATTCCGCGAATGTGTATTGCAAATATTGTTCGACATTAATCTCTGCTTCGGCGTCCGTCTCTAAAATCGGTCTAATGACAAGTTAAGAGACAAAGTAACTTGCGCACGTCTTAGTATTAACGAAAGAAAAGTATGAGTGTGTAAAAAAAAAAGATAATGATGCGATCCAGGGTTACAGTTAACGATCAGAAACATTAAAAGACGCGGAGTCCTGCATTTTCACAAATATCTCGGAGCGATAGAGACTCAGCAAACATCAATTAAAGTAACATGACATCAGTGTTATAATTTCAAACTCAACAACATAATGTAACATTTGTGTTACATAAATTACATTGTTGAGTTTTTAGGTGATGTTTACTGGGGACCTTCATCTTTCCGCTATTTTTTTCGCGATAGTTATTTTAACAGCTATTAGCAGCTATTAACGTTTATAATTTTTTTTTATTTGCAAATCAGGTCGCGCGAGATGCAAAACTGCCTGCACAAAAAATTATTACCCCTATCGACGCACAACCCGATTGAAGCGCATCTTAGCATGTAGACACGTTCGCTGTGATAACAGTATGATCCTTTTATCGTGCGAACAAAAGTACAAAAATTGTACCAGACATGCCTTATCGTAATAATAATAAGTGATGCACTACGAAAGTACTCATTATTTTTGACATTGACAAACGAATAGAAACGCATCGCAAACGTATAGAAAAATGTACGAGAAGCTCTGAGAAAAATACGGGCAGGCGAAGAATCTTTTAATACAACGCGAAAATGCTGGCAACTTTGCATCCGTTTGCGCATTCATATCTTGATGATCGTTCCAATTGCATTTAATAATCCGCTATGTGCGCCACGTGTATTTTTATCGTCATTTTAGATTCTTAAAAATAGGTTCCTAATACGCGAATCATGTTAAATGTGTGTATGCATGTTTTACTGTAGCATTTTACGATGTTTTTGAAAATGCTTTGTGATCTCCGAGCGAAAGAAAGAAGTAGGCCTATAGTAATAAAGTCGCTATTTTACTGCAGATTGAAAAAAAAGGAAATCTTCGATTTTGATCCTTCCCTGATGATGGAAGGTTCATCCGACTTTAACTTTTGTAAGAAAAAAAAAGCATTTATCGCTATCGGAAACCATTCGACAGAAATCTGGTCTCTCAGGAAGAAATGTGAAATTTTTATGCTGATGAAAATTTCAAAAGGCGAGGGAATGCAAAAAAAAACAGAAAGGGAATAATGAATTGTAAAAATAACGCCTAGAATTTTGCGTATATTGTATTATAACACCTTTCAGTTTGTTTTGAAACGTTACAATATAAGGAAACATTTTATAACAAACATGTTCTCTTCTTCATACAAAACATCCTGTCCTGCCTAATGTTTACGAGTAAGAGGAACGAGAAATGATGACTGCTATATTTTGTTCTTCATTTAATATATTAAGTTAGAATAGGTAGAATATTTACATATTATGGCGTTCATTGAAAAAATAATATCTCAATTAGACGTTTCTATCAATCTGTCCAGTATCACGCTTTCTCATGTGATATACATACATCCTGCGTGGGTGCTATACTTTTTTACACTTTGATACGGATATGTACATGTACGTTTGTAATATCGAAAGTAGAGAGTACACAATGAGATTCAAGAGAACTGATAGTACGGAATTAGTTTCTCGTCGCGAGTGAAATGTCGGTCGGAAACGCTTTATAGTCGCATCAACAGTATATTTCTTAACTTGCGTAGACGCTTTAATATAGAAAGGAGTATTTTTGCGAATATATTACGAAAATCATATACAATCGAACGTTACAATCAATCGCATGTAGTAAACAACGTAGAAACGTTTGGTAAAAGCACATCGTCAGCAGTAATAAAACGTTAAATATTCTCTATAATAATAAATTCACTTTACAGACAGCCTATTTATCTCGGCGATAATTATTATTACTTTATTTCTTTTTACAACACATAAATAAAACGGAGGTATTTTAACATTTATAACACGAGACTTATAACTCTCGTTATATAAATATTATATAGTAAAATATAGAATGTAATAAACGCGCATGCTGATTTTACGTAGATTTCTCCTCTCCCGCCGAGTGGAAGCTTATGGAGGCGGAGTTGATGCAGAAACGCTTCCTCGTAGGCTTCGGCCCGTCGTTGAACACGTGCCCCAGGTGTGCATCACATTTCGAACAGGTCACCTCGGTCCGCACCATATCTGGGTTTGCGATCAGCAGTAGTAGATTGCCGCCGACTAGTTGGCGTCGTTTAATTCGACGCGATGCGCGATTTTCGGTGGTGTTGTTGTTTTTTTTCAGTGATGAGAGTGAAGTGGTTCAGTGGTGGTAGTAGCCAGGAGATTGATCAGGGAGGACGAGAGGAGAAAGAACAATAGAGTGTGATTAGACGCAGACAGACACCCTTTTCTCACGGATACAATTTTCAAGAAGTAACAGAAGCGATCTAAAAGATCTTGAAATGAGAAGAAAATCAAACTAAAGATTGATCCACCAATCATGAGGAGACAGCTAACATTCATATAATACTAAAAGAATAATGATGAAGTGCGTACATATATCGGTTTCATTCAATATATACATTTTTATTTTTTACATCTAATTTTTGCCTGCTAATTGTTACTTGTTATACGCTTCCAATTCAATAGTACGCTTACTTAACACAATATCGAAAATTACGCAATCACATACTGTATAGGGAAGATTGGCATACCTAAAGACATATGGTACCTTGGATTACACTAATTATTTTTTTAATAATAACGAGATTTTTTATGTTGGCTACTCAGTTACATTACTTTTTAACTAAAGCAACATAACTGAGCAGCCAACATTAAAAATCTAGTTAATATTAAAAGAATAATTAGTCCGTCCCAAGGTACAACTTGTCTAGGTAGAGTACTTTGCAGCAACGAAATACAATCATGTACTGTGTGACACAGTGTCGTATTCGAAACGTTATTTAGCTTTTTTTATTTTACTGCCAAATCAAGAAAAAGGTCTTATATATTTATGTCCAAATTTATCTGAATGTAATCTTAAAACCTTTTTCATTACCAGAAAAATAAATGGTAATAAAATATAAAAATTTGGCTTTCATCAAGTGATTTAAAATAACGATACAGTCGGATACAGCATTTTAGCTATGTACAATTGTGTAGACTTATGCTATAGTTGAAAAGCACGGAATCCTACACTACTGTGTTACACAATGTTGTCTTCTTTGCTGAAAAGCACTCACGATCTTCTCTACATTGTATTTGTAACTAATATATATATTTTTTTAATTTATACGGCATATTCATCTTTATTAAATATTTACTTACGTCATAGAAATATTGTAAGTTCATATAGCTGTGAGTATTGAAACACACTTGCAAATGATTAAATATTATTTCAAATGGCATAATTTAAAAGCGAAGGAACTTTATTTGCATCGAATGCTTCTAAAAAATGAAATCTATATGCATTAAGGATTTGCGAATAAAAGGAAGATATTATTACATTATTACTCTTAGCCAAACTAAACGAAAGAATGTTATCGAGCAGTCGATAACTTTATGCTCATAAACAGCTTTTAACACGATAAGATATTTGTATCTATCCTATTGGTCATATTTCCAATGTTTCATAATATACAGCTAGTGTATTAGTTTCATAGAAAAAGTGATGTAAGTCTAACACAATCACACTCTAAGCAAGTACATGCAGGAACCGAGGAGAACAGGAAATTTCAGCTAATATACACAACATTATATTTACAGTAGAGAAAAATACATCATATATAAATGAATACTACAGTTCCTGTTTTTATTATAAGAGAAATATTTTTAAACTGATATCTATGTACACAAGAAAATGTTTACATTCATCAATGAGGCGCGAGAAGTGAGTGACAATATAATCATAATTTTTGCTACGAATTAATTTGCGATAATGTTATGGAAAATTGAATCTTATGGGAAAAACTCAATATAAAGACTTTTAAAAACTTTGGATAGGTGCAGAAAGTGAATGAAATGTGACCAGGATAGGCTCAGTAATGTTATGCAAGTGTACAATTATGATACAAGAAAACAAAATAATATAAACACCTACTAAGCAATACTCTACTTATTTTATTGATAAAAGATTGTATAATATAATATTTATTTTTAATAATTTTTATTTTTAATATATATTCTATCCTTGTTGGAATGGAGGAGAAAATTTTCTTCTCACTCTATTTCCTAAAATTGTTCTATTTTCAAAAACTGTAACTGATTCAAATATTATTAATAGTTTTGAAGAGCAGAGAGAGAAACATATTTCCTTCTTCAATACCTTTTAAGCAATTAAATGTTTTGCTAACTAGAAGAACGATAGAATATTGCACTGTAGTAGTTGCTACACTATTCAAGCATGTATGAGATTCTATTCTAACAATATAGAATTTGTATTAAAGACAAATGGTGAGTCCTAATTTTTATTAATAAAACAAGTGGATAGTATATTTCAGGTGTTTACATTATTTTGTTCATTCCCTATATACGTTGCGATTATGATGTTGTAAATAGCGAGCAGGTACAAAACGTTGGAATCGAAAACTTATTTATGAGATATAGATATCCTATTCTAAGTAATTTGAATGTACCTGCGGACTATTGTGCAATGTTTAGATGAACGTGAGATGTGAATTGCCATTCTAAGAACTAGAGCATAATTACAAAAGATACGCTAACTAAGGTAAATCGTAATGGCGCTCGCTTACCATGAGAGGTGTCTTTGGTCAGTTTGATGCGGCCTTGATCCAGAACCTCATTGAATGCAGGCCAACCGCATCCGCTGTCGTATTTGGTGTCCGAGGAGAACAGTTCTTGTTCGCACACGACGCAGGTGTACGTTCCCTTTTCGTAGAACTTGTTGTAGCAACCGGTAAACGGCCTGCACCGAATAAAACAAACGAATGAGTCAGGGGATGATGATGTGGCAATATTAGGGGTGGAAAGGGGAAAGAGGGAGGTCACAAACCGTGACACAAATAGCTTATTTTTAAACCTGCTGGCCATGAGACCGTTCACGCGCAAACATACAAAGGGACGCTCTTGAAAAAGTTATTTCGGTGTTCCTCGTCCAAGATTAACTTGAACGCTTGAACGAGCGCGCGGAAATTCGCGTCTTTTTATCTTTAATTCACGACAGTCATAGTGAGTTATGTCACGTTGCCATCTTATTTGCGACATGCAACGTGAGAAATTTCAGCAAACTTCAATTAACAATACGTCAATGTTGTAATTTTTCATTCAACAATGTAAATGTAATTAAATAAAAGAAATTCTATATTCAGTCAAAGTGAATTTTAGTGCTTAAATAAAATATAAATGTAATACAATATATATTATAATCTCTAAACCTTTTAGAATAAATCTTATTCTGAAGAATGAAATCTCACTTTTAAAGATTAAAAATTGAGCCCTTTTTTCAAGACCAGTTCAATTTTATTCTTTAGAATGAAATTCTACACCAAAGAATTTACAGAGTATGATAAAAGTTATATTTTTGAGTGGAAAATTATAATATTGACATAATACTCTACACACCATATTTATGTGAAATATTTGTGAATAATTTTTTGAAATATTTAATAAAATATTTCAGAAATATTTCATAAACAATTGTAAAACATTTTAAAATATTGCAAAATGTTTCACTAAAATATTTTAGAAATTTTGTGAAAAAAAGAATATTTCAAAAACTCTGATTTCCTGGACATTTATCCTTTTAGAAATATTTCATTAAAAATTCCTGAAATATTTCAGGGCTTGCAATAAAATGTTTTGGAGAAACTTCTGAAATATTTCATGTTGTGTAGGATTACTATTAGGATAATATATTAACTGTTAATATATTATAACTATTATGTTATTAATTTTACACGCATAAAATCGCATTGGACGAACATACATGGTATATATTGATATTATTTTTATATACTTCAGTAAGTTTGACTTGCTCGGAATTTAAGCGGAGTGTTTCTAAATAACCAAGCCAAGTGGTGAGAATCCGTCCGGCAGATTGCGTAAATATGGAGCAGACGACAAATAACATCCGTCTGTGTCAGCAACATAATTATACGTTGCGCAACTCCACGTTGCGCTTTGATCGCCCATTACAGAATCAGCTGACGTCTCTTCGCGGAGTGCGATAACAGGAAGTAGGTCGCAATTGTTAACGGAAGAATAAGATTTCCGCTTTGAGAGTAGGCTGATGCGTGGCAAATTTTCTTTACGAGTATCGTTAAAAAAAACTCATTCCCATATCGGTCCCTCTTAACAAGACTCCAAGCAGAACAAAAAAAAGTCACGACATTAAAATAACTAAAATAATTATTAAAAATTACTTTTCGGTTGATTTTAATGTCATGTTTTGACGTTATCGTGACCTGTTGTCCTGCTTGGGCTATAACCAGATAAACTGAACCGGATCCGGTGCGATCTCGCTCAAATTATTATCTTGGTCACTAAAACAGAAACCGTTCGACACCACGTCGTCATCGTCGTCGTCGCCGTGAGCAAACCCCAGGGGAGCGTTCTTGAGGACGCCGGTATCAGTAGCATGACTCCCAAGTTCCGCACATGTGACCCTCACCTCTCCGTGCCCTTCTCTTGCGTCACATGCCACTGCAGCGGCGTCAGGCGCTTCCGCGCTTCTTCCTTGTCAACCGCCGTCGTCATCCTCCTGATCGCACGGAACGTGTGTCGCAGAATCTTGATAACCGGGACCGGGATTAGCCGGGAATCAGAGAATTCAGTAGAAATGTGTAAACTACACGCGCCACAATTCTACCCTTTCCGGCCGAACGTCTTTTCGATCTCCAACTTCGCGAGTGCAGGACCTGCAGGACGCGCACACGCACGCCTATCGGCCAACTTCGCCGCACTGAACCGGAGTGAACCGCGCTCCGAGTCGCAAAGCACGCTTCGTCGCGCGGTCGACCGGGTCGGCCTCAATTGGCGCTCCAGTCACGTTCCAGGGACCGATATAGCTGCGCTCCAAAAAAATTCAATGCCAGTGCTAAAAATCTATAGTTTACACCCAAATACTGCCAACACGGTGCTACAGATGCTTTTAAGCGTTTTTTGATTGGTTAATTTGTAATATTCTTTCTTCTAAAATTGCTCAATCAAACGCTTTAAAGCATTTGTAACAGACTTTGACCGCAGTCTACGTTATATGTGCACTATATAAATTTTCAGTAGCACTAGATTAGCAATGAAACTTGGAACACAGCCACTTAGATTTCATATCTAAAGAACTCGCACGATATTTTATTCATGACAAAAAAATAGTAAAAAAGTATAATATGAAAAAATTAATAATCGTTTAATTTAATTAAAATTTGGTCGAAGTTCTGAAAAATAATGACGCGGGGTTATTTTTTTATTAATTACATAAATTGGTAAAATAAAGCTAATTAAATAAATTGGTAATAATTTGAAAAATTTTTCAATTAAATAAATTAATAAATTTTAGCAATTAAAATAAGTGTTTATTTTACCGATCTCGTTTTTTCTGGTATTTATTTATCCGATGTAATATTTAACATTGTTTTAAATTTAATTTTAAGATTTCATCAATAAAACGGTTTGTTATCTTGAGATATATATTATTTTATAATATAAATATAAAATCTAATGACGCAACAACGCGCAATATATAACAAAAGCAATTTCGGTCAAACTTTTCGAATTAGATAATAATTATAGTTTATAAACAGAATCGTATATATAACAATTCTAATTATGATATATTCGTCTCTAATTTCTAATCTTTTTTCCGTAACAATAAAAAATTAATTTTGTTTATCAAATATATTTTTGCAGGCAGGTCGCTGTAACGTCGTGAACTTAGTCACCGATTATCGGTTATACGGCGATTTTCAATTATATTTCTATATATCCATCGGATAAATTTAAATTTATATTGGCGACTATGTGTATACAAAATATAAAAATTTAATCGATTGTACATTTAATTGTTTAGATATTTCATATTAAACATACAGAAAACACGAGTGAACTAATTTACTATTATTGTTAATTAGGATTGCCATGACTGCTTCTGACACCTCACTATATTCTTTTTCGAACTAAACTTTTCGCAGTCCATCGGCGATTTATTTTTGTGCACAAAACCGAAATCCTTTTTGCTTTATTTCATGTTATTCTTTTGGTGTATTATTTTTTCGAAATATATATAAGAAAATGTGTTGCATTGGTCACGATATTCGATTATTATGAGTCGTTTTTGATTGTCCAATATACATTATTGTCATTGAAGGACAAACCAAAAACCGGATCAAAGTTGTGCAATCAATGAGAAATGACGCAAAAGAAACATATCGGACACGTAAACGTGCGATGGAAACGTAACTACCTGTTTGGAAAAAGTCGCAAACAATGAAGGTAACTATAAACTACGTTTATTGAAAATTATTGAAGTATTAAGCTAATACAATATTATTAAAGCTGTTATTTGATATAACAATAAAATAGAATCTTTAAAATTATTTTTGATTATGTACTTTCGAAATACTCTTAATACTGAAATTACAATTTTAAACGTCGCATTTCTTGTTTATTAAATATTATTGAGATATATAGCCGTTATTTTATAACAAAAAGAGTTTTAGTCGAATCATAATTATTTTGTTTCTATAACTTCGAAATTAAATTGATTAAAAATTAACGCATCATGCGCGATATTTAAAAAGCAAAGCACAATTCATCACAATATCAAAATAATGTCAAAATTGCTCTGAAATAAGTACTTATTAAATTACTTTTCAATCAATAATAATTTATTTTAACGTTATTGACGTTCTCATGATTTGCTGTTCTGCTTGAACGCATTTATCTTTCAAGATATCAATACATATATTTCAAGGAAGATCATTTATTTGATTCCTCATAAATCTTTTGTAATAAAATTTAGATGTGAATTTCTGTAAAAAGCATGAATTGAAACAGCTGCAAACATTTTCCGTGAACTAACGCCCTCTCTATTGTTCTTCAAAATTAACGATGGAAACGTATGAATTTACATGAATGAGTGACTTTCATATATACAGAAAAAAAAGTTTTGAAAGTTTTTCGCCTTTTTCATTGCCAAACCGTCTCGAGTTTAGAAAAGAATTGTAAATTATAAAAAAATTGTAGAATTCGAAATACTTTCCCTAATTCGATCATGAACTTTTAGATAATTGCAATTCGCACGTTGGTAACTGTGCCTGCAACGGACGCTAACTTCACACCATATTTTCAATCGATGGTCGGCGTCGGAGCAGCTTAGGAGACCGCGGTGCCAAAATTACGCTCGTAAGTCGTAAAAAAATTTCATTCCGAGTACAAAACGTTCCTCCAGTAACGAAACAAAATATTGAAGGATCTAAAATGAACCGGTATTGATTCGAACGAGCTGCCGTCGCTTTCGTTTGATCTTCAAATTTCGGTTGCTCCGAGTAGGAATGACGGGAATGACGTCACACAGCGGGGCCGGCGGCGAGCGCTCGTGATTGGTCGGCCGGGCCGGCGCGGGGTGGCGCGCGCAGCGCTCGACAGTGTCGGCACTGAGCGCGGCCGCCATCTTGGCAGACAGAAGGAGCCTGCTGTCGCCGTCAGCCGCCGACGTAACGCCGTCCAGCTGAGCCGTTAAAGCTGAGCGCGAGCTGTCTGGCTCCGCTGCTGGTGGAACGCGGAGAAAAATCGCGGCGGGCTATTGTTCGGTCCGTTACGCGAACGCAGGAACCGGCCCGAGGAAGTGGTGGCGGCGGACGAGGAGAGGCGGTGGAGGTAGAGGAGTAGGAGCAGCAGGAGGAGGACGAGAGAGTGAACGAGGAGAGGTGTCGGAGGACCGGAAAAGCAGCGCGCGACGGGCCGAGTATAATATCGGGGTGAGCGGGACGTCGCGGACGCCTCGCGCGGTAAGCGCCTCGTCTACGGCTCTGTCGTGTCGTGTCGTGTCGTGTCGTGTGGCCGTGATCGTGATCGTGATCGTGTCCGTGTCGTGGTGTCGTGCACGAGGTGAAGTTAACCCGGAGTGCTCCCGAACCCCCGTAGTCTCGCTCCCGTCCGTCCGTCCGCGTCGCGTCAAGGACGGCCAACTTCACCTCGTTTCTCGCGACTGTTTCTCGAGGTAACCCCTCGAGAAATTCCTCGTCCCCGTTTTCGTCCTTGAAGCCATCGTAGTCGCGCGATCCTTTCGTCGTTCGTTCCACCGGTGTAACCGAGAGTGGTAAGATCAAGCCAGGGCGGAGAATTGTCGAGGGAGGATACGCGATCTTCGCCGCAAACGTCAACTGCTGCTGACTTCTGCTACCACTGCTCTGTGACAGCGGGACAGTATGGCGGGACAGACGATCAACGACAGGCTGTTGGCCGCGAGGCACAGTATCGCCGGCCAGGGCCTCGCCAAGTCCGTCTGTAAGGCCACCACGGAGGAGATGATCGGCCCCAAGAAGAAGCATCTCGACTGTGAGTAGAGAGTGAAAGTTTGCCCCCACCGATATCACTGCAAATCCAAGTCCAAGTGTGGAAAAAGTCACTTCGTATATACGTGTGTTATTTGAGTCCTAAAACTTTTAAAGCGAATTCCACTCTCAAAAGTGAAATCTTACTCTTAAGGCTTGAACATTGAGCCACTCTTTTTCAAGACTGCCTCAATTTTCACTCTTTAGAGAGTGAGATTCCATTCTAAAGAGATTTAGAGAGATAGCCTTTCGTGTAAAAATAGCACCGTGATACAGTTTGAACGTATAATATAAATCCATATTTCTATGCAGCATAGTGTTATTTTTACACATTCGGATTTGCAGCGATATATCTGTCAAGTGCCATCCTTTCACCGGCGTTTCAATCATTTTTTAAATTTTAATTGACACTGGGACGGCCTGGTGCTGTTTTCTCTCTCTCCAATTTTCTAGTTGAGGAGGAAACGTTGATAAAAAATGGAATCTGTCGTCCAAATGTTGGAATTCTTGATAGGGAAAAGGACGTCTCGACGTCATAGGGTGTCGCCTGCTCCGATTTCGGTGCGATTTCGTGGCCGTTCCTGCTGTTGATTCACAGCGAGGGCACGCGCGAAACCACATAGGGAGACGGCGAGTCGCTCACCTTTTCCTATTTGCCTGCTTTCGTGAAAGAAGGTAAGGAGCGAGCGACTTGCCCTCCCCACTGGTCTCGCGCGAATCCGCGGCGTTAAGCAATTTCTCAGACGGGCATGGTTGAACGAGATCGACCTCAGAACGTCGGGTTTAATTCTCTTTTCCACATTGACATGTGCATTGACGTGGCAATTAAAGCAATCGAAGTCGATTGTGCCGCCTCTTGAATGCGTGCTTGCACTTGTAGGATTTCCACAGGATTTCCACTTCACGCTTCTCGCTCTGATCTTGCGACAATTCTGCGAAATGTGTCTGTGTTCAGGAACGCGTGCTTTGGAATGCTACCTGAGTGGACAATGGAGCTCCTGGAGAGTGTAATAATAGTAATCGTCATGTCCCTTGGAGTAGAGTTACCATATCTGAATCATAAGAAAACTGTACATATTGTACACTTTTAAAAAAGAAAGTTGTAAGCGGAAGAGGACTGAGGAGGAGGTATAATTTTTTATATCTTAAATAGTTAGGTATTTAATAAATTAACATTTCTAGAACATAATTCTGATTGACAATTCTTATTAATATAATTTTATAAATGTATAAACTTTTAATTAACTTAATTAATTTAATTAATAACCAGGGAAGTTCTATGACCTTAAAAAGAGTACATGTAGTTTTAAAAGAGTACTGGTAACCTTATCCAGAAGGAAAATGACTTTAGAAAGAATTTCTTTTCAGCTGTATTTTGCTCGTTGCGTTTGAAAGACGAAAACATTCAGACTTTTAAAAGGGAAAGAAAAAGGTATCGCGCGTAGGAAAGGTTAGAGAGCGAAATGTGGAAAAGGGATAGACTTCTCATACCACGCATGTTCGATTTCTGGAGTCTTCTCTCCGATTCGCGCGATCATTAACACGCTATTTTTAATACTGGGAAAGAGAATCAGGGACGTTAATTGCGCGTCAGGCATACGCAAGAATGTTAATTAGAATTATATATAAAAATGTTGATATTACGCTCGCATTACGCGCATCAAAAGTGAATGGGCACTTTCTCTTCTCTGCGATATCTTCGTAACTTCTTTTTTATATTAATAAACAGAACGGAAACACTACATTAAGAGAAAAGTTTGGTATGAATCTGTATTATTAAATAATTAAAAATATACGTAATCAATTATTATATAAATATAATAATTATTATATATAGTTATTAATTATAAATATTTATAAATATATTTTGTTTTTGTGACTATAATTGGCACCAAAAATGACTATAAATTATTTTAAAAAATAAAGATTGTTTGATCTTAATTGGATTAAAAATCAAAATTAAATAATAATGAACCAAAACTATAAATTATAGTTAAATTATAATTATATAACTGCAATAATTTTTTCTCTTAATGTATATTGTTCTTTTTTTTTTAAAAAAAGTACAGAAAAATTAAAATTTTCTGTAGAAATTCAATGGGGAAAAGTATATATGGAGAGTCGTCGCGATTTATTTACAAGTCGTATTCTGGCTCATCAGACATTCGTAAGCGGGAATACGGCTTTAGAATTTCAGATTCGTCTAAAAAACACGTACATTCCAATACACGGCTACTTTTAAGCAAAAATTACGATCGCATGCAAATGTCACTCGTATTAATTCGAGAATGATGTCCGCTATCAAACCGGATTGCGCCCGCGGTTGCACAAAAGCGGATCTTTTATTTCAAGATAATCAGTAGGTATTATGCCCATATCAAAATACATACTTAACAGAAAAAACTGAAGATTTTTTTTTCCGTGTTTTATCTTTCGAGCAACGATAATATCTTCGAAGTGTTTTGCATGTATAAAACAAAATATGATATTAGCTTCTTCTCATTTATTCGAGCTGTTTGGCATAATTGTCGCCACATTATTGAAGCATGTGGATGAACAAAATTAAAATGAAATCTTCATTTCTTTTTTCCTACCAATATCTTATTTTTAATTTTAATTTGATTAAGTACGATTTGTTTGAAACTCTTCTGGAGAATGATCTATAAAAATCCCTTCGAGGAAAATGAAGTACCCTTCAGCAGTACCTTGAACTTTATAGATAAAGTTCTCCCACTCAGATTATGATGGTTTAATTAATTAAACCAAGGACATTTACGTTTTTATTTAGGTTGCGTGTAGATAGCATGCAAATATAAAAAAGAAAATGATAAAACGTAAAAGGAAAACACGATAAAATTTTCACACACGAAGTAGATTTAGTTGTTCTAAAATTTAGTATTCGTAAAAGATAAAAGAGCACTCATGCAACAAAATTTATTCTTTTAGTTACTTTTTCGCGTGTATCTTCAAACGCAATTATTAAAAAAAATAAGATAAAAAATCATAGCGTTAATTGAATCTGTACACTGAAAGAAAAGTACTTGTATTTTTTATTATAATTGCATGGTAAAATAATTATGGCCAAGGGCTTTATTTTTATAATTATTACTGTTATAATACTAGTAATAATAATTAATTATAATTAGTTCTATATACCAAAAAGAACATATGGTTATCCTCGAAAATAATTAGATATAATTAATAATTATAAACGAATATACAGGCTTATTTCACTTTTCAAACATTTTTCTATATTTTTTCGTCCGCTTTGGTTATCAGAAAGGATTGTCTATACATTGAAAGAAAAAAATGGTTACAATTATCATACTTTGACTATAATTTACAATCATTTTCGATGCCAATTAAACATATTTTTTACAAAAAAATTATAAATTAGAATTATTACTAATATTATTATAACTATAATATAACAGTAAAATAACTATAAAAATAGAACTCTTAACCATTATTATTTCACCATACAATTATAGTCATAAATATAAAGTATTTTTCTCTCATTATCAATGTATAGACTGTCACTTAAATCCATGAGGAATTCACGCGAAACTTCGGACCACGAGGGCATATATTAACTATGTAAACTGAACGTATCTTGTGTACACATCTCATATATGTACACACAATGGTTCTGTCGTGTTTGAGATTAACGGGAAAGAAGGCTTCGGACGTTTCCTTCTTCGGCGGACAAACGCCGATTTTTAAGATGACGAACTTCTCTCAGTAGCAACCGTTAGTCATAACGACTGTTTGATGATTACATATCACTGATAATTTCCTTCCGTTATAACGCCCGGGCGAAATGCGCTGTTGGGACGGGATGACTTTTGATAGTCAATTGATAGTCACAAGGCTATATCGTCCTCTCCTCCTACATTGAGGGAAAAATTTTTGGTACTATAATTATATATACTGGCATCTGGTGGCCTTCTTTTATTTGAAACATTTTTGTTTTCGAGATATTTTGGTGTCTAAGTTAAAATGGGACACCATGTATAATTTAGTTGGCAACAGAAAATGAATATAATTATTATGAGTATAATATAGTTATTCTTATCATAAATGGTTGCAAATACCACAATTTAACTATAGCTGATAATCGTTTTTTATTCTATTTTACACACTGAAAAAAAATATAGTCAATTTTAATAAAAATTTAGTTGAATATATGTATACTGCCAACTAAATATTTATTAAATATAAAGATATATTTATTTGATACAAGAAATGTTAATTTGATTTAACAATCATTTTTCTTACTGAACAAATATTTATTTACTGTAAGTAAATGTTTAGTTGGTAGTATATATATTGAACTAAATATTTATTAAAATCGAATATATTTTTTTCTCAGTGTATGAGGTCTGTTTTCTGTAGCTGAACCAGTATACACTTTTGGAACTTAAAATAAAATAGGTATATGTTTGATATTTCGATGTCGAAAGCGAGAAAGAGAGTTCGGGTGCTATTTTCATTTGTACGTTTTTGTCGTACGACAAATGTGTACAGAACAGAGAGATCCTCGGATCTCTCTATCCCATAGCCAACCAACAGGCTTGAAAAATTTGTTATACGACAAAAACGAAATATCACCCTTTTAGTGCAGTCTAGTGCAGGAATAGAAAATAGACCAATTGTTATCCCAAAAAAATGACTATAAATTATAACTAGATAAGTAATTGTAACCATTTTTATGGTAATTATAACATTTTATATAATATATAGTCATTTTCGACTGCCAACTATATATATATTTATTGATATGAACTATATATATATATATAGTTCATATCAATTATTAATAATGTTACAGTAGTAATAACTTTAATTATGGTAACATGTATTTATAATCACAATTACTAACAATATTTTGTGAGTGTATGATTTGCCCCCCGGCAAGCGCATATCTCAATGAATCCATTTCGCATTCAGCAAAATCGATCGTCGTCTATTTCAGCCTTCACCCTTTTACCGGAGCTCAGGACT